ATCATATGTCAGCTTCGATGCATGTGAGTGTGTCTGTCTCTGTATTTGTATGTGCATAAGCGAACACAAACAATCACATACACATACAAAGAGACGGACACACTGACATGCATCGAAGTTGACATATGACTTTAGCTAACCGAATCACTTTAAACTTGATCAAAGAGGTCAGATGTAGAGTATATATACCACTTTATAGGGATTTGCCGGTGAGTTTTCTTGACTCGTTTGCTTAAATTTTGTTGTGACGATGATACCTTGCTCTAATGATGTCCTTCATATGACGGACGAAAGCTTAGCACCTTTTCACCGCGATCGAAGGAGATTGCCTCGGAAACAGCGTCAGCATGAATCTTCCAGTAAAGCCAATCGACAGCTGGTCGACAGGAATCCGCCGTCGTCTTCTGGTGGAACCGACCTTCGAATCTCTTCACCCAACACTTTCACTCGAAATGGCTGGTCAAGAGGGATTCGCCGTCGTCTTCTGGTGGAACCGACCTTCGAATCTCTTCACCCAACACTTCTACTCGAAATGGAATCCGCCGTCGTCTTCTGGTGAAACCGACCTTCGAATCTCTTCACCCAACACTTCTACTCGAAATGGAAGTAAAAATTATCAAACAAGAGATTCCTCGAAACTCAAATTTTCTTCGCATATATTACAACTTTGACAGCTCTGATTTTGGAACCGTATTGCATATAGACGCTAACACGCACAAATACATATACTCATACAATCGAGCAAAAATAATAGGACCAATAGGAAAGAAAATTAACCAAACCGCTCTATATCGATCTATATAGGTTTTTAATTTCTTTTTGCTCAATTGAGTCTATATAAGAATTAAGATAGAGCCGGATAGTGTTCTTGGCCTAATGTTAACGTAATACCCTTACAAGAATGTAACCCAGCTCTGTTGATGTCCATCGAATGATGGACGAAAGCTAAGCACGTTTTCACCTGAAACTAGGGAAGAAGTCTTGTGGACTGCGTCAAAATGAATATCGCATAAAAGCCAAACGACTGCAGTACAACGAGATTCATCCGTCCTCATCTGGTGAGATCGACTAACGAATCTCTTCTTCATTCACTTTCATGCGAACTGAAAGTCCACCTATTAACATCCCTACTGTGCCGACTCTTTTGTCGGTTTGTAGAACAATTTGATCGTTTCTTTTTAAGTCTCTATATATCTTGGTT